GTGATGAACTATAGTTAATGTACTTATAGCCTGATTAGCCTCCACCCATTATATGAAATTTTAAAGTGTATCTCAAATTTAATGTGATTGAAACATATTAAATGGCAAGTGGAAGAATTTTTTTTTTCTAATTACTTTAAAAACTCCATCCTTATAACTTAAAATCTGTCCTTCCCAATCAGAGTTCCCCCATCACTATTAGTCCATGTGTGTATTATTTCTTTCCCCACAAGGTCACTAGGAATCACATTAACACATGTTTGTCGTATATTCAGGAGTTGTAATAAATTATTTTTCAGTTGTATAATATCAAATTGTTTGCCCTTGCTCGAATACTGGCATAAATGTTTGTGCTCTTTGCTAATTTTAAAAACTTTTTTATACATATTTATCTGAGTTTTAAGAGCAGATAGTTTCTCCTTCTTTGTTTTCAACTTTTCAATTTCATTCTCAATCATATCCTTGTTTTCCCAAATTCCCTGCTTCCTCATATCCTCTAAAGCTTTGTCTACACCCTCTGTCTGTCTCTCTTTCTTCTTCTTTGTCTCCTCTTCTTTCTCCTTCAAACCTTGTATATGTTGTTGAAATAATATGTCTTTTCTTTCCTTCTGTAAGGCCATGAACTTTCGGTTTTCCTTCCGAGCATTTTCGACTATTAATTTTAGTTCACTTTCATCTTTCTCCTCTAGCCATTCCTTTGTATCATTGTCATTAAAAATCATCACACTTTCAATTGTATTTATATTGGTTGTTGGGCCTGCTTTTAAATTATAATCTAACTTTCCAAACAGTCTTTCTACACAAATATTGTTTGTGACACATGACGAACATTCTTCTAAAATATCTGGATTTATATTGAAATATTAACCACCTGTCATATGGTCATTAAAAATTTTCTCTACTTTTGTTTTTAAAACACCACAAAGTCTTTTCAAAAATACAGCGGTTGTGTAAACAACAATCAAATAAAAAGTCTGTAACATTGTCATAAAACTGTGGTCCATAAAATAATCGTAACTCTTGGTTTAGAGCCAGTAATGGGTTGTCATAATACATATTCAAAACAAATAAAAGTCTCTGATATACAGAACCCATATCTAATATTGTCCCAACTTCTGACGCCTTTGCAAAGTAAGGCTCTGTAATTAATTTGCATAAAATTCCTAAAGCTCTTAAAAGACATAAAATAACCTTATTTTGCAGAGATAAAACAATGAAATTCTGTAAAAAAGAGTATGAACTTTTCATAGAGAACATATATTCTAATAAAAGTTTATGGATAAAAAATGTACCTGCTGCATTATGAAAAGAAACATTAAACCTGTTTCCTCTGAAATTCATAATTGGAATTTTTTCTACTCCATGATATTTCATAAAAATGTCTGAAATGTTTGGATCCCCAGCACCATCTTTGTAAAAAAACTTTGAAACATTTCTTAAAAGAAACAAAATAAAAGGTTCTTTCAATGAATTTGAATACCCATTAAAATTAACTTCTAACTCCTTCTCAATATTAAAAGCCTCTGCAAAGCACACTTCTGAGAACTGTAAAAGTGGATGAATGCAGCATTTAAAAGAATGAACAGTATGTGAAATATCTTTGCTTAAAATATCATTTACTTTTTGTTCTGTTGCGCTTCTGTCTGTCATAAAACAATAAACTGAATTTAAAATATTTGAAGCATCATTTTTGCTAGAGGACAAATCATTTATAATCTCTTTTGTACAATTGACATATGTCTCACTCTTTCCATTACAAACTTCTCTCACACCTGCTGTTAAAATTTTCTCTCCTGTGTTAAATTTTACGCCATAAAAATGTTTGCCTTTTTTAGTCGTTGCGTCTCTATGCATTGTTGTATTTGTACAAGTTAAAAGAGTTTCATTTAGTTGATTTCTGGCAACAACACCCATTTCACTACTCAACACAGCTGCCGTACATTTGCTCGGTAAATTTTTTACATTAATATCAAACAACTTTAAAACAGCTTCAATAATAGGTGCAATATGTACAATGCCAACATTATGGCTTCTAAAAATATAATATAAATTTCTTAATTTAAAATTAAAAGGTTTTCCTTTAGACATATCTTTGAAATCTAAATTTTTTTCTACCTGTACAAAGTCTTGTGATTTTTCTTCATTATTTTCTTTCTCTGCTAATAAAAGATCCATTTCTTTTTTAATATTTTTGACATATGTTTTAAAAGTGTTACATTGGACACCTTTTTCCTCTTTTGTATTTTTTTTATTCATTTCTTTCTGTTTTAAAACCTTCACCTCTTCCTTTAAAATTTCAATTGTTTTTGTTTTTCTTTTTAAATTCCTATTGATGTTCCTCATATTTACAGACCTTAAGCGGTCTTTTAAAGCTGCGTTTTCTTTCTTTAATTGTAAAATTTCTTTTTGTTGTTCGTCAATTTTTTCTTGTAATTCTGGAGATTCTTGATTTTTATAATCTTCTTTCTGTTCCTGCATTGTATCATCTTTGATTTTCTTTTCTTTCTTTGAAGTTGGTAATTGAAATTTTTTTTGGCAATATGCATTATACTTTTCTTTGTTGGTATATTTCTTAAGACGTTCCATTTCTTTTACTATTTTTTTGACTTTCCATAACAATGCGAATTTACTTATTTGTAAACAAGAAACGCCTAGGGCACCACAAATGCTTTTGTGAATATTTAGAATGTAATCTTCACCGCCCTTATGTTTCTCATAAATTTCTTGGATGTTTACATACAACAGATCCATGATAATTGATAAAGTTAAACATGAACTAGAGTGAAAAACAGTGATCTAACTGATGTTAGAGATTACCACAAATTTGCTGTATAAAATGAAATGAAATTGAAATAAAAGAAAAAAATGAAAACAAAACTAAAAATTGAAAGAAAATGAAAGGAAAATAAAATAAACAAAAATTAAATTAAAGAAAAAATTTAACTGAAATAAAAGAAAAAAATGAAAACAAAACTAAAAATTGAAATAAAATGAATGAAAGAAAAATCAAATAAAAAGAAATGAAATGAAATAAATTAAAGAAGAAATGAAATAAATATTAAGTGTGCTGAAATATAATGCAAACATGTATATACAACATAGCACAAAAAAGTATATTTTACAACACATATATATACACTGAACACTGCCCGCACCTCAGATCTCCAGATTTCCGCATTATTCCGCATTTTTTCCTCATTTTAATATGGAAAAAATGTGGAAAAAAATACGGAGAAAATTAACAATACGGAAAAGCAGAAAATATACGGAAATAATCCGGAAAATAAACGGAAATAATACGGAGAATTGGACTTAGTCTATTTTTCATCTGGAAAAATATTAAACTCTTAACTTACAATATTTTTCATTCGGAAAAAATACGGAGCTCTGGACTTAGAATTTTTTCATCAAGAAAAAGATGTGTTTGTGAGACACAGTAGCACCTGGCGGCAACATTAAGTTCTAAAAAGCAATTTTTAGCAAATGGGTCTCAGTCAAGGTCACAAGGTCATTGTTCTTGGTGTCATTTTAAAGCACTTTATTAGTGTAGTATGCATACCAAATATTAAGTCTCTATCATCTATGGTTCAAAAGGTTATGGCGAAAATTCGAAAAAAGCTATATTTAGCACATAGGTCACAGTCAAGGTCACAAGGTCATTGATCTTGGTGTCAGTTGAAGGTGCCTAATTAGTGGAGTATGCATACCAAATATGAAGTCTCTATCTCTCACGGTTTTAAAGTTATTGCGAAAGTTCGAAAAAGCTGTTTTTAGCATATAGGTCACAGTCAAGGTCACTGACCTTGGTGTCAGTTGAAAGTGCCTAATTAGTGGAGTATGCATACCAAATATGAAGTCTCTATCTCTCACCATTCAGAAGTTATGGCGAAAGTTCCAAAAAGCTATTTTTAGCATAAAGGTCACAGTCATGGTCACAAGGTCATTGACCTTGGTGTCAGTTGAAAGTGCCTAATTAGTGGAGTATGCATACCAAATATGAAGTCTCTATCTCTCACCATTCAGAAGTTATGGCGAAAGTTCGAAAAAGCTATTTTTAGCATAAAGGTCACAATCAAGGTCATAAGGTCATTGACCTTGGTGTCAGTTGAAAGTGTTTTTGTAGTGGAGTATCCATACCAAATATGAAGTCTCTAAGTCTCACGGTTCAAAAGTTATGGCAGTGGCGGATTTAAGGGGGGGGCGCACCCGGCGCGCGCCCCCCCTAAAATTGTCAAAGTTAGCGTAAATCAAATATGTCTACTTGGTAGACCTCATTTTCACCCTTCAAAATCTCTAGAATCCAGGGGCTTCCGGGGGCTTCGCCCCCTGGGCCCCCACCAGGGCTTTGGTAGACCTCATTTTAACCCTTCAAAATCTCTAGAATCCATGAGCTTCCGGGGGCTTCGCCCCCTGGGCCCCCACCAAGGCTTTGCCCTGGACCCACTGGGGGCCTCAAGGCGGCCCCAAGACCCCTTGCTTATTTTGGCGCCCCCCCTAACTTCAAATCCTGGATCCGCGCCTGTATGGCGAAGGTTAAAGTTGACAACAGACAAACAAACAGACAGACATACAGCTAAACAGACAGACAGGACAAAAACAATATGCGCCCCGAAAAAATTTGGGTGCATAAAAACTGTCTTGGAGTTAACAGCAGTTCTCTGTTTCTCCTGAATGTTATGTACAATTTGATCGGGATCGGAAGAATGTTTCAAAAAGTCGGGCTCAGTGATCAATTAATTTAAACAACAGACCGCCAAAATTTAACCTTGGCCTCTATGTTGCAACGTCTGCTCTGTCTAAAGGAAGAAGTTTGTTGACCAGACAGCCTGAGATCGTATTGCTGTATCAACCAAAAGGTGCAGATACACGTATTTCATATGCGGTAAGTCAGTCATAGTTTTTTTAACATGTGTGTCACTGTGATGATGAAAATAAATACTCTAGGCCTAGGACTGAGCTACCAGGCTACGTAAGTTTCAGCCAATATGCCCATGATTCAAATATTTCAATCAGCTCATAGAATTTTATTATGGTTAACCACAATTAAAGGTGTTAATTTTGGGGAGCCATGGGCTGTAATCTCTAGCAATGATTTACCATACTTTTTTTTTTGGTAGCGTCTGTGCAAGAGGAGGAGATTTCTGAAAAAGAATAAGTGCTCATTCAACTTACTGCGATTTTAACGGGCTTAAAGCTTGGTCCATGGATGGTTATGTTTGAGGTATATATATTCTTTTTTTTTCTTTTTTTATTGCTTGTTTAATTAAAAACAGTCAACTATGATTGTCATTATTATAAATAATATTTTAAACAAATTGATATTAAATTGAAGAACCCAAACTTGTGTTTATAAAAAGATTTTAAAAGGAATAAAAGCAATGAATTTAAATTTTATTAATATTGCACCATTATGATTTAAGTACTTTTTTTATAATTGATAGGATTTGCCAATTCGACCGCAAGTGCTGCTGCAAGAAATTAAACATGCAGAGACCTTACAAATTACAAAGAAGTCTGAAGAAAATTTTTATTGGACAGATGGGTGTAAAGCACAGACCTGAGATATAAATTGAATTGTGAGAAATATGAATCAGGGATGCAGGTAGAAAATGGCAAATGTGATCCAGATTGATAAAAAATGTCTAAAATTTTTTCTTGTTTTGTAAATATTCAATGCTATGTCAATTATTTTTTCCCCAATACCTAATAGTGTTGAACATTTCACTCCCACTTTTGCTTAAATAGAATGAATAAATTTCCATTTATTTAATATGAATATTAAAAAATGCCACATTTTTTCCATGATGAACTTGTGGCTTAAATAAGAGTTCCAGTTTTTTTTCCATACATGCTCCTATTTGTTTGTCAAAGATATAAGATCCAATACATTGCTCATGAACATAATGTGTAATTTTGTTCATTCATTTATATGTTTTTTTCTCATAATGATATAATAAATTGTATATAATTTTGCACATTGTTGATGGTTTTGTAAATATTTATGTATGTATGCATCATGTAGCGGTTTTATTAGCCATTTTATAACCATGTGATTAACTCCGTATTTTCTCCAGATTTCTGTATTTCCGCATTTTATCAACCAAGTAAATACCTCCATATTTTGTATATATGGAAATGCGGAAATCTGGAGGGAATACGGAAAAAGAGTCCAAATACTCCCATCCACATTTTCTCCATATTTTGAATACGGAGAAAATCTGGAAATTTGAATCTACGAAAATCTGGAATGAATGCGGAAAATTAGTCCAAATACTCCCGTCCGCATTTTTTCCTTATTTTGAATTAGGAAAAAATGTGGAGATCTGAGGTGCGGGAGTGTACATAATAACTAAGTTTAAAGAATACATACCTTAATGTGGATAATCTTTGTGTTGGTATTTCACTCTAGTAAAATCTTTTCATTTAACAGCTGTTAAACATCTGTAATAAAATTAAGATTTATTATTTAGACTGTAAATCTTATATTTCCACAAAATACACAATTAAAATACATATCATGATGAACCTGTTTCAGCCGCTAGACCTTAATTGAAATGTCTTGTAACATCGTATTATTAATTTTTATGTATAATTGTATCATATGTAGACACTGATTTTTTCTGAAACAAACTATAACAAGGGCAGATAATCTATATACAGTATATTTGCTCTATTAACAGTACACCAGCGTTTTAAAAAAGAATGTGAAAAAGTGAGAACAATAATAATAATTTAATTACATCAATAATAAATAAAAGGTAATAAGCAATCATTCCATGCAACTTAATATTACTTAATCTAAACTTTATACAGACTAACATTAAAAATACTAATTCTCTCATATGTTGACAAGGCATTGTGTTACTTGAATTTTTTTACTTTTAACCAATATTATCGCCATTTCAAGAATATATTATCAATACAAATGCTAAACAAAACGATCTTTATTCTTGAATTGCAATGTCAGACAATTAAATCACACTTAGAGCCAATAAATTACTTACCTCAACCCTCGGATGAGACTGTCGTCTATCACAAACGTGAAAACATGGATCCCGTGCCTTCCGGTTAGTTACTATATTTAGATAAGATGGCGTCAGGTGGAATAGCTACGGTGGCGTGGCCTCACCAGTAGACTCCATAGCGTTTGGTGATCAGCTGATTCAGATTTGAAAATATCACGGGGTTATTGCTATTGAATTAATTTTATAATAATCGTAGGATTATATTGGCCAATTTGTCAGCAAGAAATACATTCTTTGTATTTATTTCCGACTGAAATAGGAATGCCTATTTGCGGTTTCGTTTTGTGAAAATCAAATCTGTAGTTTTAGTAAACCAGGATAATCCTGATTTTAAGTAGGTCAATGCTGGTTTTAAAATAGGTCAATGCTAGTTCTATCCTTTGCTTGCTGATGCTGATCCAAGTAATGCTGTTTTTTTAAATGCTGATGCTGATGCTAGCTCTATCCTGATCCTACTTATGCTGATCCTTATGCTGGTTTTTGTAACAAAATTAGTTCCCTGCACTGTACGTTTCGGGCAAACGGGGCTGCCGTGGCTGCCGGGAACATAGTGTAAACGTAGCATAAGATATGACAATTAATCTGCAAGAAAAAACTGCACGATATAAGTGCCGGTGTAACGACGAAAAGTGACCCTCGTAGAATATTGACCGGGGATCATTTTTCTACGTAGAAATTTGACCCCCTGATCAATATTCTACATAGAAAAATGACCCCCTTTTTCGTAGAAATTATGGCCTTGGGGTCGTTTTTCTCCATGTGCATTGTAGAAAAATGACCACGTAGAATAATGACCCCTTGTTTTTTTTATTAAAGAACATTCGTTTTGGTAGGAATATTCTCGTTAGGCGAATGTCTACTGGTAATATCAAGCAGTCTTATGATAAGTATTATTCATTTCTAAAAGCTTTTAAACTTAAATAAAGAAATCAAAGTTGTAAATCTTCGATTTTTCTTAAACAAATACAAATTAGATATGAATGTAAGAAATAACATATTTTTTTAGAGTTTTGTTGGGATATAGCATGAAGTTGTTACTTGCTCAAATCTACTATAACGTACTTCGGGCGTAAAAGGACTTGATCAAATAACAACCTTATATATATCTCAATAAAGCTCAAAAATATAAATATTTTATCTTAAATAAAATGTATTGTTATATTGTTGCATATTCACAGACAAGAGAAATGTTTTCACATTTAAAACATTTCGGTAGAAATAATTTAATGAACACCAACATTGCCTACGTATTGTTTTATGACCCTCGCACTTATCACAAATTCCTTCTTTTAAACTGTATGGTAAAAATTGATATGATTTTTATTTTATTGTTATGTAGACATTAGAACAGAAAGAAATACCTATTTTGAAGTATCCCAGAATGTTAATGTGTAAGACTTCTCCGAAATTTATTTCGGTAGTATAATTTATGAACAAAAGCCCATTTAAGAACTATCAAAATATTTTTGAATTCAATATAATGCTTTGTCGAACTTGTTAAAAAAACAAATTTAATTTCTAGATTAACATTTTTTTTTTTGAAAACCGCATTAAAAATGTAAAAACGAATTAAATTCCTTTGAACTGATTTAATGTAACAAACTGAATTCATTCAGTTATATTTTTTTAATTCGTTACAACGAATGAAATTTGATATAACTAACTTGTTAAATTTCTTATAAGGAATTCATGAATACTACCTACAGGCGCTAAATTTCGAAATTGAGTTACCGGTTTTAATTCAGTATAACTGATATTAGAATGCAAACCATTGTTACAACAAATGAAATCTTTATCCTAACAAATCCAACATTGTCGAACTCAAAAACATTTTCTGATTTTTTGTAAATAGGCTTTTGCATTTCGGTCATGTAATAGTACAAAATGAATCAATTTAAAGAAAGTCCCGGGCGGTTTGATACTTTATTCAGTACAATCTTTAATTTCTTTTTTCATTGAGTGGTTGCTTTTATTACATTTATCTAAAACATCAAGATATGTTCTTAATTATCCTGCAATACTTGTAACACATAGATTCAGGGAAATCTGACTATGCAGAGTAATTCAATAATGTAAAAATATATTTATGAATGCCTGTATGTATCAGGAAGCTTTAAATGATTTAATTGAAAGACTTTTTAATGATATAAATTCTTGATCTCCTTGCAGGGCTGTAAAAAGGCTGTGTGAAGTGAAATGAACTGCCATAGATTTTCATAGTATATATTTCTACTGTGTGCTTCATTTCTGACTTAAATCAATGGAAAAGTTCATGTTTTTGTTAAATGCAATTTGATGTCAAGACGCAACATCATTACATGTACCTGCATATATACAAATGTTAGAATATGTGAACCAGAACATCTAATATGATTTTAACAAACGAGAAAATGGAGTATTGTACATGTAGTCATTACCAATTTTTACTTCCATATATCACAATGATTAGAGTATACATTTACGGAATATTTTTCAATATTAAAATGAAAATATACTTCAAATGTTATTGATTTATTCTGATTTCTTAACATTATCTTAAAAGAGTCACCTCCTGTAAATTTACAGCAGAAGTCTTGAATATAAAATAAAGTCACCTGTTATGAAAATGACTGTTGTGATCGTCAATTCATTATACATGTGTAAGCGTTTTCGCTTTAACTGTGTAAAACTATAGACCCCAGTGTAATCAATTATAAAGAAATTCAACTAGAATTGAGAAAATTCGGGAAAATGCCCTATTTCTGCAACTTCTTGTGGCCTCCATGTATGGTTTGAATCAAAATTAGTGCTAGTTTTAAAACCTACACCAGTTTAAGTTCTTATCTACAAACTAGCACAATTCTACAATATGAAACTATGATTTAATTTTTTATCGAATAAGGGGCCAGGCTCAGGTAACCATATCTTGTCCTTCACATTGTAATAAGTTTCACATTAGCCTCACATATTTTTACTAAGAGAATTACCTTTATAACATTTATGGAATGCCAACTCTATGTCTTTGTAAAAAAAGATATATTCGACAAGTCTAGATAAAATATAGGTCGTTTTGAATCTAAAATCGAATATTTTGACCATTATCTCAAATTTACATCAATGTCCCCAAATTGTATGCCCCTGGATGAAAAAATCTCTGGGGTATATTGGATTTTTTTTCTTGTCTGCCTGACTGTTTGTTTGTCTGTCTGTTGGTTTGAGTGTCTTTTGTCAACATTAACCCAGACAATAACTATGGAGTGGGTGGAACTATCATGGCTTTCATATTTGACTGGTGAATTTCTTTTGACAATACTTTTCTATGGTTACAACCAAATTTGACTTCTTAACCTTGACCTTGGAATTTCGTTCATAAAAAAATACCACACTTTAACCTTGGCCATAACCTTTAAACAGTTGAAGCTAGAGCTTTCATCCTTCATATGTGTACAAGTATTTATTGTGAAAAGATTTTTCAGTTGGTATAATTTTTTTTTGACCTTTTGACCTTGACCTTAGAGTTTGACCTACATTTTAAAAACTTTAACCTTGCTCATAAGTTTTGAACAGTAAGAAATAAGAATTTCATAGTTCACAGATGTATTCCTTGTAGTAAAACATTCCTTTGGGTACCAACACTTTTTAGCTTGACTTTTGGAATTCGACATGCATTTAAGAAAATTCAATCCTCGTCGTAAACTGTTACTGTATACAAGGCCTAGGGGCATCAGTGTTTCACAAATGAAACACATCATGTTCTTCCACTATTTTGAACAACATGATACTTCTATCATTCGTTCTCAAATTAGACATTATCACTGAAAGATAAGTATTAAATTATATATTTTTTTTCTTTAATCGATGTACCAAAGTATATATTTTATTACGTGAAAATATATTTGCAGTGAGGCAAACAAAGGCTCTATAAAAACAAGATAACAAACTCATATTGTATTGATTCGACGAAAATGAATTTTTGTATAAACAGGAAGTTTCAATTCAATAATTCTGTTTGGTTCTATTTAGATATAATACAGAATGAGAGATTGGATTGTCGTTTTATGTTTTTCTGCTCACTTTTTCCATGTACAGTTTTGCAATGAAGAAAGAGCAAATGAAAATGGAATGGGATGTTTAGAAGTGTAAGTATTGTTTTATATATTTTTTTTATTTTTCATATTGATTAAAATATCAACAATCTAATATATATTGAACAAAACTCAATAGGATATTTTGACCCATGGTCCAAAAATCACCAGTATCATTGCCTTTTGAAAAAACATGACTTGTCAAGACTTCATTTCTCTCAAAGCCAGTTTATATTATTTATCGTAAACGGAAGAATTTGACATAGTTTTTTTTTCAATTGAAGTGATTGAGATCGCAAAAATTATTTCGAGTTTGAGGTTTACTTTCCTAGTAAACATCACGAGAAAGCTAAAATTACTTCTTGACTAAGAACTAGATACTTATATTTAACAACAAAATGCTACCAATTCTACATACGCCATTTAACCTTAAATTATTTGTTATGTCTACATAGGAAGGAGGGAAACAGTGAGTGTTGTGCTGATTTTATTTGGAACAGCAGCAGAAATGCATGCGAAAGTAAGACTAATAATGAAATAAAATATAATATAAAGCACTTACATGAATGCATCTTTCAAATACAATATATATTTTTAAAGGACATCTGTTTTAATTTTGAGAAAGAATTACGATATTGTGTTTCGAATATTTTTACTTATCTTTACATTTACAGAATTTGTTTTATTAAAACAAATTCGCTTAAAGAATAAAATATGAAGATGTAAACTTAAAATTGTACAAAATATTAATATTTATAAGTTTTCTTTTTTAATTTGAAATGAAGAATGAAGTAAGATATCACTTTTTATTTCATTCAAAATCCATGAATCATCAAATTTAATACAATAAGTATAAAAATCTGTATTAAAAAAATTTGTTCACAAACCTGTCAGTGCATTCTGATGATAGTTGTATTTCTTTATATTAATATTGCAACTGAGCAAAAAGTTTGCATTTTGTAGAATGTAAGCCAGGTTACATGGGCATTAACTGCTCCGATCATTGTGAGACAGGTCTTTACGGGGAGGATTGCGATAAACGATGTCCCTCTAACTGTACGAATTGTCACCATGTTACAGGGGAATGTTACACAACCTCAACGGGTATTTATTCTATTCGTTACTCAATTATTTTATCAACTTAAAATACTTTTCAAAAGCTAACGTTATATAAGACAGTCAACAAAAATAGTTGCATAAATAGTAACTTTAAATCTTAATCTCTTAACAAATCGTGCATTTCGCTTGAATATGTACCAATGATGAAATCATATTATTGTAACGTGCGCCGAATACACAAATCTATTTATAGCTCGTTTTCACCTGTGACACACTTACAAAAACACACCAACCAAAATGAATTAAAACTTTAACAAATTATAATGAAAAAACAAGCAATAGAATCAAATAAACACACAGTTACAGTTACACACAAATTGACATCATAAACAAATTCAGACAACGTTTACTCAGCTGTCCTCCGGTCCAGAACGAATTACACCACTCCGAGAACATCAGACACTATGGACGGCGATCACTAAATATGTACTTTCACGGTATTATAAACATCCTGGGCCGAATTACAAAGTACGACAGATCATCAGTCCATTGCCCAGTCTCTCCAATCCCGTATCCTCGCGCTCGTGCAGATGTTCTTCAGCTTCCGGAAATCCATGTGACGTCACACAATAAAAATAACTACTACAGCTGACGCAATATCTATAAATAATTTTAGAGTATCGTAACATTATAAATAATGGCCTTGTTTCAATGTTCCTCTCAGTTGTGCTCTGCGTATCGTCAATGTATCTTAAACCAATGAAAAGATGGTTGTTCTGGTTGATTAAGTAAGAGGCTTAAATAGTGAGGATAAAGATTAAGCATTTATGTTTTATCTCAAAACCTTCCTGAAAACAAAATAACTTGTTATTTCCTTGCATCGGAGATGGTGTGATGTTTTTACAAGCGTATGTGTGTTTTTGTCCTTATGGGAAATAAAAGACTTAGTGATGTAATTTGCATAGGAATCGATGTTAAATGCTGTCTTGATTTATAGATGTGCTCCTTGCCAGGGAATGCTCGGCTTTCCGCGGCCGGTGCCCATGATTGTCTCCTTTTCTTGATTTTCAACCAAAAACTCCGGGGAAAAATAGAAGCCCGGTTTCGATCTGTAGGAAAAGGACAATTCCAAGTTCAGCTTGCACTTTCAGTAGGGCGTGGCATTCTCGACGTTACACATATTAGCTTCTGAAATTTACGCAGCTTTCCTTCACTGTTGAAATATACATGTACATAGTTTAGAAATTCAGCCAAATGTCAAATAGTGTAGCAAATAGCCAATTAAAAGTTCTCGCAATTTACAGAGGCGGGGCTTTAGTCGTCTCGTCGTTGTCAACAACAATTGAAAGGTTTTGGTCTAGTTAATAAAGGTTTGCGTTTTGAAAATTTTAATGTATGTCATCTTCTACCAAAATAAAGTAGACGAACTGAAATTAATTTTACAAAATGAACGATCTATGGATGTGTTGGGGCTTTGTGAATCTTTTTTAAATGATCAAATAAGTGATGCAGTTTTGAATATAGATGGTTATGTACTTGAAAGAAAAGATCGACAAAATAAGGCAGGTGCTGGAATAGTTATTTATGTCTCAAATAATCTATCCTATAAGCGTCGACAGGATTAAGAAATTAGTAACATAGAGACAATATTGTTAGAAATCAATTTTAAAAAACACAAAACCTATCCTCTATTGTTCTGCCTATCGCCCACCATCTGCACCCACCTGCTGGGTGGAGGACCTAGCTAGGGAGATAAACCGTTCCTCCTGCTGTGATGACCAATAAATCATACTTACAGGTGACTTCAATGTTGATTTGCTAAACCCCCCCCCCCCCCTCTATTCTGGGCATCTGCACTAGAAGAATTTGGACTAACTCAATTAATCACCACACCTACTAGAATTACCAACACCTCATCTACCCTTAATGATCATTTCTACACTACCCAACCTGACCTCATCTATGAAATCCAAGTACCACCCATAGCTCTGTCTGACCATCACCCTGTTTGTGCAACACGCAGATCTAACAGCATGCAGCATAAGGGAAAACACACTGAAATTCAATACCGCGACTTTAAGAATTTTAATGAAGAAAAATTTCTTTCCGATTTAAAAATTGTCAATTTTGATGCTCTTACGAATTTGCACAATCCTAATGATATCTTAGCGAACTTTTACAATATGTTTAATACTCTTCTAAATAGACACGCTAAGGTAAAGACTAAACGTGTGAAAACTGAGTCTTGTCCAAAATGGTTAACACAAGAAATTAACGATGCTAGACAATTATGAGATTACTATCATCAACACAAAGACTTTGAAAATTTTCGACATTGGAGGAATAAAGTTACGATTTTGATTAATAATGCTAAATGTATTTGTTATAAATCAGCAATTGAGGAGAGCTCCAATTTTAAAGAACTGTGGAACTATCTCAACCATTTAGCCTCAAAGCCAAAATGTTTTTTTAGGTATAGTAAAATGTTGTTTGAAATTAGAAGGCCCCGGGGAAGAATAGTACCTTGTACTAATCGGGTTACCTTCTCTAAATAAAGCATTATTATTATTATCATTATTATCACTATTATTATTATTATTATTATTATTATTATTAAAGGTTCTGTTATTAATTACTAAACAAATGATAATCTGTTCGCCATTTCACAGACGCTAATTACGTTGCGCCGAGAATGTTATGCCTTACTGAAAGTCCAAGCTTACCTGGGAACTGTTCTATCTGGCTTTTAATTCATTTTAATTAGCATCTTTTATTTGGATTCATTTGTGTGATATTGACGTAAATTGAACCAGTAAAGAACATCCATATTGCTTAGATATCAATCTGAATTCAGGGAAATTTTGACATATTCAATAAGATCATGCTGAAAGATTTGTATTAAGAAAGACTTGTAGTGTAGACATATTTTCTGAAGCACAATGTACAACAATGATTAAGGTCAATTATTTTGTCCAAAATTTAATGGTTTTCTAAATGAAAATAATATGAGTTTGAATTAGATTGGTACATGTTTGCTAAAAGAGAAATCATTTTAAACATGCAATTGTCCTTTAAAGCTCAAGCGAAGCAGCTGTTATAAAATATATAGTTAAAATACAAATTGCACTATACAGAGGGAGAATGGTGCAATTAATATTACATTTAATTGATTAAATATCATTGAAAATACTAAATGTACCTCTTTTTTTCCTCTCTAACCCCCGTACATCAGTTTTTCAAATTATACTTTTGGCGACAAATTGTGCAGATGTTCAAAGCACCCATTGTTTTGACCTCTTTATGTGTCGAATATAAGGCGCCACTCTGTCGCTCATTCAATAGTGAGGAAAAACTACTTTTGGCATACATCGTTTACGACAACAGTTTTTAACAATATAGGACGAAATATACATTGATGCTTGGTACATATTGTCCCTGGCATCAGTATTTACAGGGTGACTGTAACCTTGAGGCAATATGATAGATGTGCATAAATAATTTGCATTCAATAATTTTATCATTAGATTAATTTTGTGCTATAATAAAAATTAATTTGAAACTAGAGCCGAGCTCGTTGCAAAGCAACGAGTAGGTCTTCCGTCGGAGCTACGGACAGAGAGAAATGACCTTGAGTCAAGGTCATGCCACGTTCTTATGATAAAGCAATCTTTTAAGGGTAGATATCATCTTATTATGTTTTCCTATTAAAAAAAGTGATAGTAAAGGAATGTTTGCGACCTTGACCTTTTCAAAATGACCTTGGGTCACACCATGACACAAGATGGTGATGAGCATACCCCATTTGTGTGCTACTGTATTGACAAATTCACACATGTTTTGTTCAAACAATGCATCCAGTCAAAATATCTTATCCTAAATGACCTTGATTCAAGGCCATAACACACTCTCCATGATTTAAGCCATACCTTTTTTTTCGATAGGCCTTGTCACAGCTAATATACATGTGTAAAAAGTTATTGTCAATTTTAAGCAATGTTTAAATTTTGGAAAAGCCAGATAAACTTCAAGGTCAAAGTTCATGATATACTAGTATTTGATATGATTTTATCACAGGTTACGTACATGACATTGTGATGTTTGTGTAATATGAAAGCCCTATCTCTCCTCATTAAGAAGTTATGATCAAGCCTCAAGGTCAAGTTGTCAAAAGTCAGTGTATTTAGAAAAGAGTTGTCATAGGTAATTCATAGGGATAAAATAAAAGCCCTACCTCTTCACAGTCAAAAGGTATGAGTATTGTTAATGTTTTTGAAAAGCAGGTCAAACTTCAAGGTCAAAGGGTAAAAAATTAGTGAATTTTAAGAGGTGTTGTCACAGTTAACACATTTTTATAAAATGGAAGCTTTCAAAAGTTATGGTCAATTTAAAGTAATGTTATTTTTTTTAAGTAGGTCAAGCTCCAAGATCAAGGTCACAGGGTCAAAAATCACAGTATATTTGAAAATCAGATGTCACAAATAATGCTCATATGAAATATCAAAGTCCTATTTCAACTCATTCAATAGTTATTATCAAGTTTAAAGTTCTCGTGACGGATGGACAGACTGGCTGACGAATAAAGTTTAATGTTCCCTAAAAAATAAACACATGTAATTTGAACATGATAGATTGAGAAGTACGAATAATTAAAAAAAATTACACAATAGAATATATTAGAATATAAATCAGGTTTCCTACATGAGATTTCCTTAAAGACTTATTAATACAAATTATTCAAGAACATGCAATACATGTTCTTGGAGGTTCAAGACGCGGAGACCGGTCATTTCGATGAGATGTCTCGTTGGTGGTGCCATAAAAGGATTTAATTCGCCTGATTTCACCTCTGATTTTTTTTTTTAAAAGTCTGTCTTTGCGCTGCTAGTGATTTATATTGTTTAAACAAAATTTAATTTTATGAAAAGAATTATTTTTAATGCTTATTTTTGACATATGCTTAAGTTATTAACCTATCAATCTGAGTTTGAATAGTAAAAAGGAATTTGTCACTAAGTATTTATCTAAGGAATTAGTGTCAGTCCTCT